TGGCTATTGAGCATTTATGTAGTAACTCATATTAAAGGTACTAAACTTAATGCACAGTAGCAAAGTCAAATTAATGCATGTGTAGATGTGTCCAGTGGGTGCGTTTACATGAGATGCTTTACTGTATTTTAGATTAATCTAATGCACCATAAAGCATCACCATTTACACATACACAGCAATTACTACACAGTGTATTAGTCTAATGTGTCATTTTCTAGTACCTGTAGATACAGGTACTAGAAAATGGCTCATTAACGTGCCATACTGTACATGTAGGCACTGACCAGGAGCAAATTGCTCCTGTTCAGCCTAGGCAGCAGGGGACCACAGGGGGTGGGGAATGCTGTCTCAGCTGCCAGGCAGCTGTCTGCCAGCCATATGGAGATTGGTATCTATCCTGGTCTCCACATCATTGGCAGGGAGCTGCCCGGCAGTTGGGACAGTTCCTCCCCTCCCCTCTGCCCTTTGGAGCTTGGGGCTTAGCCCCTGTGCCCCTGCCATCCCAGGACTGGAACCTGGGGAGCCTGGAGCTTCCTCTGGCTGCTGCAGGGGAGCAGAGCAGGGCAGGAGTAGCCCTGGACTGGGTTACTTCTGTCAGGCTTAATTTGCTCCTCACAGGAGTGCATGTGTGGACATGCACCGGGAAGTGCTTTAATGAACTTGAATTTTCAGGTGCATTAATTATACATGCAGGCATGGCCAATGCAAAGTTTAAGGGAGATGTGGTAGGCCTTCAAAATAGGGTCTTCACCTCAATAAACTGATTCATAGATGTGCCTTTTGTAGCAGTCATGAAGGTACATGAGATTTTGAAGAACACATTTAGCCCGATGATCCTGCAGCTCTGCTACAGCAAAAATATACAGGGGTGTAGGTGGTAGCCATGTTGTCTGGGTGAATCTGATATATTTTATTAGACCAACTTAAATAGTTGGAGAACAAGTTTTAAGCAAGCTTTCGGGTTCAAAAACCCTTCGTCAGGCTAAGGAAGTTTCAGCTGCTGAATCAACTGCTGAAACTTCCTTAGCCTGACGAAGGGTTTTTGAACCCAAAAGCTTGCTTAAAAATTCTTCTCCAGCTATTTAAGTTGGTCTAATAAAAGATATCAGATTCACCCAAAGAACCTTGACAGCAAAAATATTACACTTATATCAAAGGAGGAACTAATTCTTTTTATGCACTCTCCCCCATCCCCAAAATGCCTCTATTATTTTTGTACGTACTTTTAACTCTGTTTTTCATTACTGCTTTCCATATGCCAACCAAAGTTTTGAATATTTTTCTACTATCTGAACATCTGAACTTTGAAAATACACAACTATAACTGATGTAAAGAAAACCCTATCCCAGGAACATTGTGAGTAGAGGATCCTGCATGTATCATTCTGAAAAGCTCCCTTGCCCTTCAGTGCCATTCCTACCTTCCACATTTCTTTGGTGCAGTTAGTTCCAGAAATAAATCTCAAAGGTCATAATAAAAAGCTGCACTCCAGAATCATTTACATTGCAGACACATATAAATGGGGAAAAGAGCCAAAGCAATGTGGAAAAAAATTCAAGCCCTACTGAAATTGTGTACTTTTTTATCATTCCCTAACAACCATGGGTTTACTTCTTTGTATTATCATTATTTTCTTATTTTAGTATGGATAGATGAAATTTCAGTAATTCAAATTTATACCTTTTGTTATTGCTAAAGACATGCAGTTTAAATTCAGAGAAGCATACAGAAGTTAGGATGCTGAATGTAATCCAAGGTACTGAACCTCTTAATTATGCGAGCGGACTGAAAATCTTGGAAGGACACATTTTCCTGAGATATCTGAACCTTCCCTTTCCTAGTCTGTCTTGGACTTCAACTCCAGAGTTTAATTTATCCTGGAATTTCAGCACTTCTCCATTATCTAAAAGTGCAGACTTGAAAAAAACATAAGGCATATTTCCCATTCTCAGAAAAGACTGAATTCTGAAAAAAAGGTTTGCTTAGCTCTTAACTGACATAAACTCAAATGAATGAAAATCACAACAAAGTAAAAAGTTATTGCAATGACAATTTTTCTTGGTATTTCTTGATTAATATTTATTTAGTGAGTGTCTATAAAGGCAAGATAAACGCGCATAAGCAAAGCAAGGCTTATCTTCATTTCCTTACAGTTGTCACATTGTATCTATTTTAAACAAATAAATATTATCTTATTTAAAATATATATATATTGCAGAAGCATCCAACGATGCCAATTAAGATCAGGAAAGAATTGTGTTAGCTGCTGTACAAAAATGAAAGTCGACAAAATTCCCACCAAAAAACATTTACAATTGAACAATATGACAGTGAGCCTATTTACCTCATCCTGGGTTGTGTGATATGTAAAATGCATTGTTTAAAAGGTTTCACTAAACATCTACAGGCACACCAATTTAAAACATTTTTAATGAAAGGCTCCATTAGAAAGGAAGTATATATAGTGCACAGTAATAAAGTATTACCAAGGCTTCTTTAATAATGGTACATGCAGACACTCCCAGGACCTGAACTATGATCATGTGGCTTACTTTAAGCTGTGTGATCATAGATCAGGTCCCACTTGTGCAGATGTTCACCAGTGCTGGGAGCTGCACCTGGATTGTGCTCGAAATAAGTAGCGGGGGAGGAGAGGTGAGTGGCATGGGGGGGTGGCAGGAGGGCAGTGGGGGGTTTTGGTGGG